GCTGATCTTCTTCTTCTTCAACTTTCATATTCTAATCACTATTATTAATGCATCTCAATTGCATGTGTGATCAATTTCGGACTGGACATGTTGGTAAAAAATCTTCAATTTCCTCATCTTTAGCATTAGTGTCTTTCCTCTTCAATTTCTTAAAACTGATTAAAAAGGATCAGTAGCAGTCCATTTCAACTAATACTCAGAATATTAATCTTTAGGTTCCATTACATTTTTTATTACTTCTGATTTTCCCACACTCGTTATTAATGGGTGTTTTCAGCTGTTTTATTAAACAATGTTCCATGGCTATGGACAGCCTATTCCTCCTCTTCTTAATCGGGAAGCGCCACTGAAACCTGTGTACAATAGGTGACCTTTCTGTTCTGTGAAACACCAGTGGCGTAGTTCCTGACATCACAGCAACATACAAGCCACCACGTTACAACACACTGGCAACCAAGTGGTAGTTGATATTCTTCCTACTGTATATGGGTACCTCAGTATAGTCAGCATCCTAATTACTACACAAAGAGGTACCTAGGCAAGTACTGACATTAATTGCTAATGTTAATTAGCGACTCTGTCCCAAAGATGTAGATGTATTCGTATTTTGCACATACTTTCAGGAGGGAACTCTTCGAGGAAAACACCAGGCTTGTTAAAATAGTAGGTCAAAAGAAAGACCGTCATACAAGATGAAATGACAAGGTGGCCGCAACAATGGGCTCAGATCTGATAATAATTGTGCGAATGGTACAAGAACGGTACGTTTCATTCTAATGTCCATGGGGTTGCTATGACTCAGAACTGACATGAGGCACCTAACAATAACAACACTTTGCTAATAAGGCCCACCATTGAGTATGGTCGTTGAGTTCTGTATAGACAATACAACAAAGCACCGAACCCAGCAGAGAAGTTCAAAGTGCCCAGAGAGGGGTGGGTGGTGTCAGAATGGGTTAAAAAGGTTGGAGGAAGGAGGCATACCTAACCTCCATGTCACAGGAATGAAACTTGGGCTGCTGATGCCCGTAATGACTTTCCTCCCACCTGTGAAGTTAGCAGTGACAGGGCATTTTTACATCTCTCCAGATATACACATGGCTAATAAGCACAGAGAAAGACTTCCAGTATCATCTGTCATTAGGGAAATGCAAATCCACTAAAAAACAAACAAACAAATAAACCAAACTCTGCCATCAACTCTATGGACTCTCATTGTGACCCTATAGGACAGAGTAGGGCTGCCTATGTGAGTTTCACTCTTTATGGGAGTAAAAAGCCCCGTCTCTCACTGGAAGAGCGGCTGGTGGTTTTGAACTGCTGACCTTGCAATTAGTGCCATAACCACTAATACCACCAAAGTTGATGATAATAAAGATAGACAGTAACAACTGTTGGCTAGGAAACTGGAAACCGTCACAGAGAACTGGTGGAAAAGCAAAATGCAGCTGCTCTGGAAAAGTTGGGCAGCTGCTCAAAAATTCAACACTGAGTTGCCATATGATCCAACAGTTTTATTTACTAAAGCTAAAAGCTTACACATAAAAGTTAGTAGCAACATCATTCACCATAAGAAAAGTGGACGCAATCCTAACATTCCATTCATCCGATGGTAGGTGCCACCGAGTCAGTTCTGACTCAGTGAGCTTATGTACCACAGAAGGAGATGCTGTCCAGTTGTGATGGCACGCTCACACCTGTGCGCATGTTTGAGCCCACTGTTGCAGCCTCTGTGTCAATCTGTCTTGTTGAGGGCTTTTCTCTTTTTTTCCGCTGCTAAAAAGCCACAGGAGACTAATGTACTGCATAAATGCTAGTGGGTGCGGGGATCCTTTGGGGCTGATGAGAGTGTTCTAGAATTAGACTATGGTGGTGGTGGTTGGGTTCTTATCTGCCATCAAGTGGACCTGCAACTCGTGAGAGAAGAGCTGCTCTGTAGGTTTTCTTGACTAACTTTCCTGGAGACGTCTCCTCTTCCAAGGTTTCTCTGGCTGGACTCAAACCAACCGCCTTTTAGTTAGTAGCTAAGTGTAAACTAACTTCCTTTAGTTGGTAGGCAAGTGTAAACTGCCCCGCGAGGGGCCTTGTGATGATAATCACATAATTCTATTAGTACAATTGTATTATGTGGAAAGAGTAGTTTATAGTATTAAATAAGAGAATCAAAACAGTAAATAGATTAACACTTCCTTAGGGGTGACGGCAGGAAAGGTTGGGGGGAAATGGGGAGCTAATGATGATGTTAAGAACAAAGAAAATTGTTCTCAAATTGATTGTGGTGATGATGTTACAACTCTAGATGTGATTGGACTATTGAACTGTATATGTGAATTCGATGCTAATAAAACTGTTAAAAACAAAACAGTGGCTCCTAAGTGATCTGCTGGCCCAGTTCAATTCAAGGCACAGAGGTTAACTCAGAAAGTTGTGCGGACTATTTTGGGGATCCCAAAGGGTATGGCAGATGAGCATGGAGCATTATTAGGAAGGTTTTAAAAAATTGAAAACTGCCCTGGTGAGCTACAGGTCAGAAAGATTGTACCAAAGAATTATTTTTCCTGTCACAACAATGCACCTACTCATTCTTTTGAGGGTAACAAGGACTGTTAGGAGAATTTTGTTGAGAAACCTCCTCCAACTGGCCTACACCCCTGATCTTGTACCTGCAGCCTCCTTTTTGTTCCCCCAATGCAAAGAACATTGAAAAGGAACACAGGAGACTCCTTCAAGGGTGCCTGAGCTCTTACCTTGATTTGATGCCAATTAAAAAGCACAGAAATCTAAGAGGAAGGGGTGTCTTCACAAGTATGGATGGAGGATAGGTTTAGAAACAATAGCTTCATGTTTGGGATGTATAATTAACAATGGTGTCTATGATTTTGTATTAATCCTTTTTGACTTACCCTTATATTTCAGCTTTTTAACCCTCCCCTCCCCAACATCCCCCTCGCTTCAAAATGCCCAATTACAGGGTGGTATGACCCCTGCAGGCTGACTAACAACCAATGTTGTTTGAAAGCAACAAAGCAGACTCCACATTCATGGAGAGCTAAGCTACTATCAAGCAGTTAATTTACAAATCGGTGGTGGGAGGTCTATCTTTTCAGGAAAGGAATGTCTAGATCTTCTTGCAGTGTGACAATTTTCTTACACCAAAGATGGGGCAAACGAAATCATGTATAAGCAG